CGATTCGATTTATTCTAGCGTTTTTAGTTTATATTTGTTATTGGTATTGTTGAACATATTTCATAGGCACTACATACTTTTATTTTTCAACTTTATGTAAATAATTCATATAATTTCACTGGTATAACCGAGAACAAATCACACACTGACACTTCTTTATACTTTATATAGATTAAATATTGAACTTATTAAGTAATTTCTATATTTGATATTCAATTATTTAAACCACCGTTAGGAATGTTATCTACCTAAAATTAGTTCCACTTAAATAATTTAATACTATTTTAATTTAGTTCCCTATCTAAAATTAGTTCTAATTATAACTTAAAACTAAAAGTAGAATCTAAATTAGTTCTAAAAAATTAAAGAATGATCTATAATTTGAATAATTTCGAGACTTTGTATAGCCTAGTATTATCTGGTGCAATCCTGCTTTCCCCTTTTGTTTCATAATGTTTCTTTTGTTCACTTCTTTAAATTAATGCAAATTATATGCAATTTATCAAGTACACCTTGCAAGTATTCAAATTTTTTATCACATAAATTATCTAAGTGTTAAAATTCACATATGTAAAGTGATTTTGCAAAGGCATTAACCTAAGTGAGGAATAGAATAAATTTGATTCTACTTTTGTTTAGGAAAAGATATATAATGGATTTTTTTTATTACAACTAGTTCCATTTATTATTACAGATAAAGATGAATTATATATAGTGTCAATTGAGTAATTCTTTCTTACACTTTTGTAAGGGAGCCATATTCGTGATTTAGCTAAATATTTGATTAGCAATGATAATAAAAGAAACTTTTTAAAGTTTGAATTCATGTATTCATCATCGAATACGATCTAAATTTAATCAATTAGCTAAAAATGGTTAAATATTGAAACTTTTATATTTATAGTCTGATTACAACTGTTTTACACCTACATTCTATAATTACGATAAATTAGATATGGAGGCCAACGACAAGAGGAGGAGCTTTGAATCTTTTAAAAAAATATAGTATATACTATATAGTATAGTACAGAAAACTTCAATTATGAAAATTTTGTACATAGCAATTATGTGGATTCTATTCTTAAAAATATCTGGAAAATAGGTTTATATATATATATATATATATATATATATATATATATAGACTCAAATTCTCTAGAAAACTTTTTACTTTATCAATCAAATATCAATCATTTCAAAATTTTAGGAATATATTTATACATGTTTTAAGAATACATAGTAATATGTATTTTTGAAGAAAAAAAATAAATATTTTTTGTTATCGTCGATCTCCAACGGCGCGACAAAAAAAGGCCTTTCACTGCTGCAGTGATTCCGGCCTTCTACGTGGATGAAATTAAAAAAAAAAAATCTGGTTAAACTAGATAATATTGTCTGTAAAATGAACTACGATAAAGAAAAAAATCAAAAATTGACACAATGACGGCATTTTTTAAAAAAACCCAAAATCTTGGTCGTTTTTTTGGACCGTCAAAATTCGATTTTTGATCCGATCAAAAAATTGATAGTTCATTTTACGGAGAACTATATATAGAACATGTAAAAAAAATGATAGTAATCGGATCATTTGCTTTTGAGTAATCGCTGCAGCAAATTCAGAAAATGCTGTTTCGAGAAAAACGCGTTTAAAGATTAAATAATCGTTATACTATATACTATATATATACTCTTTAAATGGCTGTGACTCAAAAACTATTCAAGATATCGATTTAAAATTTTGGTATGTTATTTTTAAAGGTATAGCCTATCGAAATATGGAAAATTGAAAATTCGATTTTTTGAAAATTTCCCTTAAATTAGTTCTAGCAATATAATTTAAACAATTATCCATGTGCTAAATGATTCAATTATATTGAAACAAAATGTTCCAGGTTTTTTTAATATCTGTAGCTTTCACTGTAATTTCTAGAGTTGCTAATGCAATTAATTAATGAGACAAATATAATAGGTTGTCAAATATCTCCCTTTCGCCTTTTTGTATTATAAACCAAGAGCAAAAAAGCGGAAGGGAGATATTTGACAACCTAATATATTTTTTCAAATTCAGTAAAATTTTTCAAATCATAGTTTTTCTATTTTATCTCAATCTAATGCTTTGTATACTCTGAGACATATTTTAAAATCATGTGTTTCATTCAAAACGATGTGATTCTTTTTTTACTCTATTTCATTGGCAGAAAAGTTGCATATTATGGATTTCTGAGCTCTATATTATCGCAATTTAGCGAAGCGTTTAAAATGTATGGTATACACATTTTAATCTTTATTTAAGATTTAAAAGTATTATGCATGGTTTACAAATTAAAGTAAGCGCATGCATAAGTTATCGATTCGTGATGTTATCAATAGCATTACCGTGTAATATGGGTTAATACAATATGACAACTAGTTGAACATTCTGGTACAAGCAAATGTCGTTGTGTGAGGTTCAGCATGCGATCAGCACGACATTTGCACAAAGACCTCAGAGCAGACACGATCCGGTTCCACGGGAAACTACTATACTAGGTAATCCATATGGATTACATCACTCCACATGTAATCCCGCATCAGTTGTAAGGCGAACGGAGCTTCTTCTTCGAAATAAACCGAATTGTATGAAAACGACAACATAACCCAATCGATATTTAACACTAAACCTATCTAAAGCAGGAATTAGAAGTGTGTGACATTGGGTTTTAAGGAAACTTGTTGGTAGGCACTTTCCTCTTATACGATTTTTTTTTGAGAAAGGTCATGTTCATTAATGTATTTTGGGAAATATTTAAAATGTAAGTACAAACTAAAATATTGTATTTGCATTTTTGAGATAAAATTGAAAATATCATTAGTAAAGTTCAAACTGTTTGGCTAGAATCGATATTGAACTATCTAATGAACCTATCTAAGGTAGAAATTAGAAGTGGCGTTGAGCTTTAAAGAATAGCGACGATGCTTCTCTCTTTATTAACAATTATGATTCTTTTATTTTTGAGAAATTTGAAGTCTATTCAAACATATTAAGAAATATTTGTAATATAAATTTAGTATGAAAATTTTAATGTATGATAAAGTATTGGCATTTTGAAGGTCAAATTAAACACATTGTATTACTAGTAAAACAATCGATTGGCGAGAGCAGATATGAATAATTTTGAAATTAATATTTCATATATTAGTATTCATTATATTAATTTCGCATATATTAGACCTATTGAAGAAAGCTAATAGTTTTTTATAATTGTATTCAGCACCAATCAGAATGTTCTATAAGCTGCTGTATTTGAAATTTTCTTCCACATCAGGTTTTGGATTGTAATCCAATGGTTAACCTATCTACATTTTCATTATTGCATTATTAGAATTTTCCTAATATGTTATTCAATTACATATAAAAATGCTCGAGAAAAGCTATTTTTTCTTGAAAACAGATTTTAGATCCATATTTCTAAGTAATAATGGATATAGCTAAAGCTAAAATCTGAAAGACAATCTGATACGAATATGTCTAACGCTAATTTTGAGAGTCCAATTATATATGTAACTTGATAATGGTTGGATCAGAATTAAAAGAAATTATGAGCCAATAAGTTGACTGTTAAAAATAATATAAAGCAGTAGTCGATTTAAATCGGCTGATCTGCTCTACCAAAATGTATCAGAAAACTGTATTTACGTACATTAATGCATACGCCCATCTTTTCTGAAGTATGCTAATATGGTTAGAAATTACTCAAACAAAATAATATTTTATTTGACCTTATCAACAAGTAATTTAATAAAGGCAGAACTGCTGAATTTTGACATTAGTCAGGACGAAACGGAGTGACAATGTTGATTATAACTATTATCTTTTTATCCAGAAAGAGCTTGCAAGTTGTGAGCTTTTAAGTACAACCTTGATGGTCAAACTGTTACCACTATTTGGTTATTGTGGTTAAATTTGATTGTTTTTGTTCATTTAAATTTAGGAATCGTAACCGTGAATAACAATTCTGGAACCACTGTCAAAAATAAGGGCATAATTTCTCCAAGTGACTCAAAATTAAGTCTTTGAATTTTGGAATTAAAATTTCTAAAATTGATGACTTTGAAAGGCCGTACTCTGAAAAAAATATGATGAAGTGCTTTGGCAAGTTCAATTCGGAATTTGCGCATTTAATCAGGATTGCAAGATGGTACAATACTTGTTAACTTTATACTGATTGTGAGTGAAATTAAAAATTTCTGCGTTATTTTTTATGTTTGTTGCAGTCACTTCGGTTTGACGCTCAGTTCTGGGACACCAGAATCTTAGTCTATTTTATTTTAGTTTGTTTATGTTATTTGTTTTAGAATTATGTATATTCTCTTGTTGATTTTTGTAAGTACTTTTTTATGAAATTTCATTTATAATTGTATTAACAAATGATGTATTATTTTCCAAGCATCTAACGCAAAGAAAATGTTCCAACGAACTGATTCCAACAATTACGTTGTAGGTTAATTACATTTTTATCACTTTTAAAGGCATCTGCATTGTACCATGAAAATTGAATAACAGCAAATATCACTATTATATCACAACATTCAACCGTCGCGACCTGAAGACTACATACGTCTTCTGCGAAACGAAAGCGAAAGTTCTTCTCTGCTCTCATTCACGTACAACTGCGTTCTGACGTCCCAAAAGTAGAACCAAAGCAAGTCGTATTAACTGATTTGTTCCAACTTTAACCATTCTGTACACGATCGATGCCTCAATTTAATTTTTCGTTGGTCAATTCGGTTTTTATTTTGGCAGTGCATTTAATTTCTTTTCGATTTTGACATTCCGGGCACGGATGGCACACGAGGCGCATCCCTACCCGTGGACGATTCGCGCGAAATCACAAAAGTATAAGTTGGCGATCGCAAAGACGATTCTTCACAAACGACTGACGTGTTCGATTTGATTCAACTTTGTGCTAACGACCTGGGTTTTGTGTTGGTTTTCAGTGTGTTTTTGATAAAAGAAAGAAATGGCGACACAAAAAGTAAGTGATAGTGATTTTTTTTTCTTTTATGATATAATATCACTGATAGAAATTTTTATTAATTTTATTATTTAGAGTCAATAAAGTCAAATATTGGCAGTATATTTTTCCCAAAATATTATAATTTTGAAAGAAAGTGAAGTGAAATATAGTAGATAGAGATAGTAGATTCCATTAATCTTTTTATGATTGGTAAAAAAAATATCTATTCATAATGCATAAATCATAATTTATTGGTAGAAAAGAAGGTGACTATGATTATTTTTCTTTCAATGATCACATTTTTCTTAGCTTTCTGACTCATTGGTTTGGCAAATAATTATTTAACAATTTTTCGTAATTTATGTAATGTCTAATGAAAAATCAATATTATTTCAAGGGTTTATGGATATTCATCTCTCTGCCAATTGATCACGTTGATTAAAGACTGTAAATCAAATTAGCAAGCAAATTTAATATTAGCCAAGTCGCATTTCTTTTAATATATTTTTTAATTTGGCGAACCATGTACAATTTTTTACCACCTGTAAACCTTTTTATTTTATTAATTATTAAAAACTAGATTTTATCCATATCAATCCTATATTAATTTAAATTGACTTTAATCAATTCATAATACAAATTTTATTTGATTTTATATTAATATAATGGCAGCTTAGCACATTTTTGTAATTTGTAGTAAGTAAATTCAATAAATAAATCAAAGGATATTTTATTACAACAATTAATAATAAATTAAATTTAAAAATATCTTTTGTCTCATAACATGATTCTATTACACCTTAATTTTTTATTCTCTCGGATTTGTGTATGTAGAGAAGAGGGTAATTATAATTATTTTCCTTTTAATGATCACATTTTTCTTAATTTTCTTAAAGCTCATGGCGTTGGTAATTAATTATTTCACTAATCTTTCGTAATTTATGTAATGTCTAATCAAGAATCAATATTATATAACGGTTTAGGGATATTTCTCTCCCAATTAATCATGTTAATCAGAATTAGTGGATCCAATTAGAAAGCCAATTTAATATTTGCTAAGTCGCCTTTTTTTAAATGTTTTTGTATTTTTCGAATCATATATGATGTTTTCTCTTTGTTTCATCATCCAAAAGCCTTTTTATTTTATTAAATAATAGAAATTTTTATATAATTCTATAGTTCTGCTAAGTTGATGTTCTTCAATCTTAGTGCTGGTGTGCAGCATCACACCATTCACATGTTGTTACATTTTACTTTATTCTTTTAAATAGCTGACAATAAAAATAGTTTTATCACCAATATTTATTTCTTATGCTCGTGTTCCTGATATGATGAGATCACGGATTTATAATCGCCTCATTTAAATTGATCATCGGAATAATTAACATATCTAAATAACTGATTTGAAGAGCTTGACCTTTTTTCCGCTCGTTTCTTCGTCCAGTCCGATGTCCTTCGACTAAAGGGCTTCCATAGCATTTCCTTTCACCGCCGGCATTTCTGATATTTCAACTTGTATCATTATAATTGGTTCTGAGAAATAAAAATACTTTTCCTATTGTATATAAATATATGAAAGAAAGAAAAATACAATCACATTTTATCTAATCTTGACTAAAATTATTCATTATCTTACAATATTTTAATTCAGTGATAAAACCATTAAATTTTTATTAAATTTTTGGTCGTAATTTTTTTTGAAGGTTATAAGTAAGTTCAACTGTTTATTTAAATTTTAGTTCATTATTTACATCTTTATTTATTTATTTTCTCAAACATTGCATCTCTATTTTAATTTCGTATCACACAGTGTTGGGAGAAAGTTGCACGCATTTTAATCAATTAACAGTTAATTTAATGCATAAATTATACAAGGAATAAATTATTAATATTAAACTCTACGTGTTATGAATTAATGATATTATATTATAAATGGAATTTTAAGCACATTTTAACAAAACATTATATTATAATTAACTTACATATTCGAAACTTTAGAAAGTTTGGGAAAAAATGATATAATCATATATTTGACATTAGAATTTTTATTTAAATTCAATGCCACAATCGTGTGATGTAAATGCAGCGTGACATGCAACAAGAGAGGTTACAACATATTTCATTTACTTAATAAAGTATTACTAAACTTTATATGAGAATGTTACTTAATAAAATGGTTAGTACCGTCGGTGACTCTCAATTTGTTGAGCTATTGTATTTTTACAACTCTAATTTGGCTTCATAATAATTTAAATTTGCCAACCTCAACCTCAAAACAACTTTCCACAACCAACTTACCCAACCAACTTTTATTTGCATGAAGATCACTGAATTTACTATGAACTTGAAACTAGTGGTCATATATTCGGAACATTACATGTGCAACAGAAAATTGATAAAAAATCGATTATATTTAATGGAATATACGTTGTCCTCTAAAATCCAAACACTATACTCCAAAAATGTTACCTTTTGTACTCACTTAGCTCATCATAGATTTACCACATATACTGCCAATAAGACTATTGTATATTTTTGTGTAAATTTCTGATCTTATCTGATTTCTGATATTTTTGTGATATAATTTCTACATCGTAAATAACACAATAATTAAATATATAATAAATCATTACTTTTAGTTCATTTTCTTCACTGCCTGTGCTCTCTGCATAATCTCCCTGAGACTGACTGGTGCCGGAGTTCTTCCGGCAATTGCTCCGGTTGCTCTAGCCGTGGACCCGGATTCAGATCCTCATCCTCAATACACATATGCCTATGATGTCCGAGATTCCTTAACTGGAGACTCAAAATCTCAACATGAGAGCAGGGATGGAGATGTAGTAAGAGGCAGCTACTCATTATTGGACGCTGATGGTCTTCTCAGGACAGTGGTGTACACTGCAGATCCAGTTAATGGTTTCAATGCTGTAGTTCAAAGAGCACCACCTTCTGATGCTCAAGTTGCTGCTGCTCCTGTTTTGCATCATTAGAAGAATGGATGTGAAAATATTTGTGCTCATAAAGAAGATTTAAGATTTTTTTGCAAAATTTTCAAAATTTAGCTGACGGAAGCCAGTATACGAAGCATACTAATCATAGGAAATTGCCAATAGGATTCATAATGTCGTGTTGTGCTGACCTATATAGCCGTATTCTTTGCTTATTTCGATATTTTAATATTTTTCAATATAAACCATCTGAGTGCCAAAAGCAAATATGAATTTAGTTTCTACTACCAAATCAACATCAGTATTATATAAAAATGATTTGGAAATAAAATTAATTCACTATTTTTATTCGAATTCATATACGCTAGGGTATTGCTAAAATTGGTAAATGAATTATTTACAGTCTCATTAAAATACCTTTTGCAAATATCTTTTTCACAATTGTAGAGACACATATTTTTACCAAAATGCTGATCCAGATAACGTCCTGTTGATTCAAATTTATACAGACGATCGTCTTGTTTCTTATTTGTTGTATTTCATTTTTTATGTTAACAACAATGTGATGTGTACTACATATAAAA